ATTAAGGATGCCGTAGAAATAAAAAACACATTGTAAGGAATAAACAGCAGATTAGGGGAAGCTGAGGCTCGGATCAGTGAATTAGAAGACAGGGTAGAGAAAAATCACTCAATCAGAGAAGAACAACAACAAAAAAATTAAAAAACAGGAGGACAGTTTAAGGCAGCTGTGGGACAGCATGAAATGTAACAATGCTCGCATTATAAGAGTGCCAGAAGAGTTTGAGAGTAAGCAAGGGTTAGAAAACCTGTTTGAAGAACTAATGGCAGAAAACTCCCCTAACCTGGTCAAGGAAAAAGTCACACAAGTTCAGGTGGCACAGAGAGTTCCAAGCAAGAAAAACCCAGAGGCCCACCCCAGACACATCATAATTAGAATGCCAAAAATTTAAGACAAAGAGAGAATCTTAAAGGCAGCTAGAAAAAAGCAATCTGTTACCTACAAAGGAGCTCCCATAAGGCTGTAGGCTGACTTCTCATCAGAAACTCTACAGGCCAGAAGGGAATGTCACGAAGTATTCAAGGTAATGAAAAACACGGATCTGAAACCAAGAATACTCTATCCAGCAAGGCTATCATTAAAAACAGATGGTGAAATAAAGAGCTTCCCAGACAAAACAAGGCTAAAGGAGTTTATCACTACCAAGCAAGCATTGCAAGAAATGTTAAAGGGACTGCTGTAATAAGTTGAAATAGAGAGAAAGAGAAACATAGACATAAAGAAATAAAATGGCAATAGATAAGTACCTGTCAATAATAAACTTAAATGGATTAAATGCTCCAATCAAAATACTGGGTAGCTGAATGGATAAGAAAACACAACCCAAATATGTGCTGGCTACTATAGTCTCGCCTCAGAACAAAAGACTCACATGGGCTGAAAGGAAAAAAATAAAACTATTCTGAAGGTCTTTAGAGGAGAGATCAACAGCAACACAGAAATAGTAGGAGACTTTAACACCCATTTGACTTTACTGGATAGATCTTCCAGACAAAAAATCAATAAGGAACAGTGGCTCTAAATGACACACTAGATCAGAAGGATTTAATTGACATTTATAGAACATTTCACCCCAAAGCTGTAGAGTATACATTGTCCTCAAGTGCACATGGGACATTCTCAAAGACAGACCACATGTTAGGACACAAAACAAGTCTCTATAAGTTCAAGAAGATTGAAATCATATCAAGCATCTTAGGGAGAAAGTGTTCAGTCTTTCAACATTAAGTATGATTTTAGCTGTAGGTTTTTTATACGTACCCTTTACATACCTAGTTGCTGAGAATTTTTATTGGCAATTAACGTTACATTTTGTGAAAGGCTTTTTCTTTTTTACTTCAAGTTGATTGAATTAGTTCTTCTAAGTGTCTTAACATTATGAGTTTGTTAATTGATTTTTGAATGTTAAACTAACCTTATATTCCTGGGATAAACCCTACTTGGTCATAATATATTATCTTATTTATATATTGTTGGATTTCATTTGCTAACATATTCAGATTTTTTGCACATACATTTGTGAGAGATAATTGATATGTAATTTGCTTTCTTTGTAACGTCTTTTTCTGGTTTTGATATCAAGGTGTATTGGCCACACAGAGCATGTTAAAAAGTAGTCACTACTTTTTATTTTTTGGAAATGTTTGTTAGGAATTGGTATTTTTTCCCTTAAGAATTTACTATAATTTACCAGTGAGGTCAGTGGGGCTTGGAGTTTTCTTTGTGGAAAGATTTTAGGTAAAAATCAATATTTTCAGGTTATTTTTTCTTCAGTGGGCTTTTGTAGTTTGTGCCTTTTAAGGAATTTGTCCATTTCATGTAAGTTGTCAATTTATTGGCAAAGCGTTTTCATAATATTTTTTTACTATCCTTTTAATTCTGTATATGTTACAGTGAGTCCCATTCTTACTATTGGAAATTTGTGTCTTTCTTTTTCCTGACTAGTCTGGCTTTAGTTTTAGCCATTTGATTTGAATTCTCAAAGAAACAGGTTTGGTTACATTTATTTTTCCTACTTTTCAGTTCTTTATGTCATTGATATCTGTTTTGATCTTCATTATTTCCTCTCTTTTATTTACTCTGTAAAGTTCATTTTACTACAAACTTTATGATAATATTCTTCCATTTCTCCTTTTTCTAGTTTTCTAAGGTGAAAATTGTCATTTATTTCAGAACTTTCTTCTTTTCTAATATGTGTTTGGTGCTATACATTTTCCTTAAGTCCATTTTAGTGACAACCCACTATGTGTTGCATTTGCATTTTCATTAATTTCCAAATGTGTGACATTTTCATTTTCATTAATTTCTAAATATTTTCTAATTTCTTCTTTTATTCCTTCCTTGATCATTGGATTATTTAAAGTGAGCTATTTAGTTTCAAAGTATTTGAGGTTTTCCAGAGATGTTTCTGTTATTTATTTCTAATTTCATCCCATTGAAATTAGAGAAGGTATTTTGTATGATTTGAATTATTTTAAATTTGTTGAGAATTTTTATATGTCCAAAAACATCTTCCTTAGGAAATGTTTTTATTATTGCTCTTGAAAAGAATGGATGTTCTGTTGTTATTGGAAAAAACGTTCTGTAAATGTTGATCAGGTTAAATTGATTGACAGTGTTGTTCAATTTTACTATATTCTTACCGATTTTCTGCCTATTCTATAAATTATTGGGAGAGAAAGACTCAAATCTACTATAATTAGGGATTTGTTATTTCTACTTACAGTTGTATAAGTTTTTGCTTCATGGATTTTAAAGCTTTGGTGTTAATTTTACAAACATTTAGGATTGATATGCACCCTTGATATGCACCCTCAATATTATAAAATGATTTTCTTTTTCCCCGAAAATATTTTTTGCTCTGAAACCCACTTTTGTCAATTTTAGTATAGAAACTCTGGCTTTCTTGTCATTGATGTTAGCATGGCATATTTTTCCCCCATATTTTAACTTTTAGCCCATTTTTTTCCTTTATACAGGGGTTGGCAAAAATAAGTTTATAGTTGTTCATAATGAAAATAATACAATAAATAAATAATAATAATACAAGAATAAATTCTCTATTTCGTGGGCTCACAACTGTAAACCTACTTTTGTACCACCCTGTATTCTGTAGGCATCAGATAGCTCAATTTTGCTTTGTAATCCAGGCTGCAAATTTCTGTCTTTCAATTGGGTGTGCTTAGGTTATTTATAATGTGGTTATAGACATAATTGAATCTAAATCTTGCTATTTGTTTTCTATTTGTCCCATCTATTCTTTTTTCCTCCTTATAGATTCTTTTGGATTAATTGAATATCTTTTCTGATTCCACTTTACCTACTTTGTTGGCTTATTAGCTATAATTACTTGTTATTTTAGTGGCTGCTTTAGGTTTATATTATACAATTTTAGTTCATCATCATCTACCTTCAAAAGATATGTTACCACTTTACATATAGTACATAAAGTTTATGATAATATTGTTCCATTTGTCTACTCACCCTTTGTGCTATTATTTTCATACATTTTCCTTTTACAGATGTTATAAACTCCATACCACTTTTATTCTTGTTCAAAAATAAATTACTTTTTTAAATACTTAAATAGATTAAAATAATATATTTACCTATGTAGTTATCATTTCTGGTGCTTTTCATTCCTTGTATTGAACCATATTTCCATTGAATATCATTTTTCTTCTGCCTGAAAGACTTTCTTTAACATTTCTTGTGGTGTGGGTTTACTGGTAATGAATTATTTCAGATTTTAAAGGTAAGAAACATGTTTATTTTTCCTTAGTTTTTAAATGATATTTTTACTGGTTAAAGAAACTTAACTTGTCTTTTTCTTTCAGTAGTTAATAATGTTGTTCCACTCTTTCTCTCTATTTCTTCTTCTTACACCAGTCCCATTAGCATTTCTTGAAGTGCTGGTTTGGTGAATTCCTTTAGCCTTTATTTCACCTTATGAGCTGTTTTGCATCCAGAGGTTCCACATCCACTGCTATTTTTGTTTCTAATATATCAGTCTAAAACAGCAATTTTTTTCAAATATATCTTTATTGATTTCAGAGAGAGGAAAGGAGAGAGAGAGAGAGACAGAAACATCAATGATGAGAGAGTCATTGATTGATCCCACAACCCGGGCATGTGCCCTGACCGGGAATCGAACCCCAATCACCAGGATCCTAGGTCAACGCTCAACTGCTGAGCCAGGCCTGGCTGGGCTGCAAGAATTTTTAAAACATGCCAATACCTGAGTATGTTGTGAGGGGCACTGAACTCTTTTTTTTTTTTTTTTTAATTGCTTTGCAAGTTGTCAGCTATTCCTCCTGTCCGAAACTGAAATGACCATAATAAACTTCAAGTTTATGCCTACCACCTCCATAGTGACTGAATTAAAAGGAGTCTACATCAAAACCGGGGACTCATGGGTGTTCACAGCTTTTCTCCCGTGTTGCAGCGCCCTTGGGAAGAGGCAGCCCGGTTCTCTTTTCTCCCTTGAGACTTTGTCTCACTTCTCCTCTCCATCCCCAAGCCTCCAGGGTGAGGGGCACTGACCTCTTTCCCCTTAGATTGTCAAATAAAAAAATGACAACAGCCAACACAATACCTGTTTGGTGTGAATGAATCAAAATTATACCTACTATAACTTTTTTTTTCAGATCATCAAAAACTACAACTTTTTTTTGGTGTGCTGCAGAATTTTAGTAATTTGTTGATGTGTGCCATGAGATGAAAAAGGTTGAAAATTGATGGTCTAAAACGAAGTGCAGAAATTTGAAAGTTTCAATTCAACAACAATATATGGGGTGATATTTCCCCTTAATTTGGTAAATCTATGGTGAACCTTTCTCAATTTCCTTTGGTTGTTTTATGCCCCATATTAAAGAAAACATGGGTATAAAAGAGAACTTCACCCTTTTAATGATTTCCCTTTTTTGGTTGGCTCCACCTCCACCAATCAGCCTTCTGTTTTTCTGGGTGGAAGTGAGATGAATTTTAGAATTCTTAGTGGACCTTCTCTTTAGGAGGACATTTCTAGGGGCTAATATAGAAGATTTAGAACTCCAAAGACTTTGGAATGGACAGACTCAGAATGGTGCTACATGAAAACTCTGGATCTCCTGGTAAAAGCTTCTTGTTTTTCTCCATTTTTTCTTCAACTGAGTATAACATTATTCTGATAGTCAATGGATCTGATTTAACAGTGATTCGCATTAGAAGAGTAAGGAATGGGAAAAGGGCATTAAGTTCATATGGCAGTACCTCTTATCTGTCATAGATTCTAAATTGAAAATATGCCATAAAGACGAGATTTGCCATCAGTCTTGTAAAACTACGGAGGTGGAATTAAGTAAAGAACTAAAATGAACTGAATTGCATTGAGTATGAAAACAACAGTTGTTAGAAAAGATAGAACATGTAGGAATGACTATTAATTGAATGTTGATTACCTAGAAGAAATTTAGAATAGCACCCTGAGTGTTAAAATCTACTTTATGATTTAAATGGATGTGTTAAGCTTATTTAGAATTTTTACTTTTTAAACATTTTTACTGAAGTATAGCATGTCATATGAAAGTGCACATTGTAAGTGCAAAATTCAGTGACTTATCACTGAGTGCTCCTGTGTGGTTATGACATCATTTTAACTTTTAAATTAGTGTTAGGTTAATGTAGAAAGATGAAATGAAAGTGCTAACAGCTTTAAAGAGCATTTTATGCTAAATCTGGAGATAAGATCCAATATTTTGATTTTTCCAATATAAACATTGTTACTTTATTCCATTAATGTATTGTTCAGCTACTATTTAGCAAGCACTGTTGCTGGGTACCAGTGACATTATGTTGAACCTGAGAGAAATAATCTATTTTTTCATGGAATTTACCATCTAACAATGTGAATCAGGTAGGCTTAGAGAGGGAAACATTAGTTGAATATTGCTCTGTGCCTTCAGAAAGAACTGCCCACTTCTGTTTCATTAATACCTTTTTTGAATTTTCCAGGTTTTAAGTCTGCTCTTGCAATTTTTTTTCCATCCCCAGTTTTTTTTATAATTACCCCTATCTAGGTTGCCTATAAACACGAATATTTTTCAAAGCTCTTTCACTGAGACTATATGATCCTGGGTGTAATTTTTTTCTGTCTGCTTTGCCATTTAGAAGGAAGGGGTTATTGTCTCAGTGTGTCCTTCTTTGTTAATCTCCAACCTCTGAAACCATCTGCCTTCTGCAAAGTCTCTTTGAGGGAAGACTATACTTTTGCCCTCTTTCTTTTTTTCTCAGACTTTAGAAGAAGTTTTGTTCATTTGAGTCCCTTCATTATTGCTGTGGTCTCAGTTCTTAGTGCCTGTTCGATCCCTGGTTCTCTTGGTGAGTACTTTGTCAAATCTACTTGCAGCCTTAGCCCACTCTGACAAGAATCATTGAAAAGCAAATAATTCTCCTGAAGGCAAATAGCATCTGAAAATATACTTCATGGTTTCAAAAGATCAGATATTAAATGCACAAACTAAGAACTTAACCATGTGATGCAGAAAAAAATCAACAAAACAATAATAATAATAAACTCTCACTGGGAAAAATACATTTTACTTGAAGATTTGAAATAACGTCTAGCTAAAAAAAAAAAAGGGAACAATACAGAGTAGGAGAAACCTCAGAATCATTGGGATAAAGAAATGTTGGAACACTTGAAAAAATTCAAATGCCAACATGTATCTAAAACTGTATTGATGGAGGCAAGATGGATACCACAGGTTTCTCTTGTAGCTAAAATAATCATGAGGTGGTAGCTGAGACATTTGGAAGGAATATAGGGGAGAGGGGATTTATTTTATAGTAGAAGATAATTGGAGAGTATATCCATCTCAACTTCCATTTAAAGTAGATACATTTCTGCCAGATTTCAACTAGTATTTTTAAAATTTATACTATTTTACATATATGTGAAATAGGTATAAAATTCCTTGTAACTGGTCTTTTCACCAGCAGCCTTCTTTCTATTGATCTTGGGATTTTGGAGAAACTTACGTAGTTCATCCCTTTAAAATTTTGTACTATCTTATTTAAATAGTAAACTCTCCGTGAAGATTATATAACTTGATATTGTAAGGACTATCAGCCATAAAATAAAGATATTATATAGTATAATATATAATTACATATTATATATTATATATATAATTGTGTTACTTACCTTTACCGGTTCATGCCATTGTTCAATTTGAAGCCTGTGATACCAATATTTGCTTTTGAATTCCTATGAAATTGCATTTTCCTATTGTACCATGGATGGGTCCAGGAATATTTTTCAAACCTGGATTTGGAAAATAAATAAGTAATCTAAAGACTAATAATTTTCTACCTGCCCTTTGGATCTTGACCAACTGCTCCCTTTACTCATTGTTACAGGAGGAACAGACAAGGAGCTGAGACTAGCAGCTGGTGAAAACAAGTGCTCTGGGAGAGTGGAGGTGAAAGTCCAGGAGGAGTGGGGAACTGTGTGTAATAATGGCTGGGGCATGGAGGAGGTCTCTGTGATTTGTAGGCAGCTAGGATGTCCAACTGTTATCAAAGCCACTGGATGGACTAATTCCAGTGCTGGCTCTGGGCACATTTGGATGGATCATGTTTCTTGTCGAGGGAATGAATCAGCTCTCTGGGACTGCAAGCATGATGGATGGGGAAAACATAGTAACTGCACTCACCAACAGGATGCTGGAGTAACCTGCTCAGGTAAGACCTGCATAAGGCAAACTCTGGACATGAAATGCTTTGTGGAGGAAAAATATGTAGATGGGTTAAAAACAAAAAGGAGCCAGTTTTCTCTAAGTAATCAAGTCCACATATGCATTACCGAATTCATTGCTGAAAGACCAGAAAACACATGACGAAGTCCTATTAAAAAATAAATCGAGATTCTGAAAACTTCTATCAATGAGGGAGTGACTAGCTTCAGTTTTATATTCAGTATAACCTCCTACTTCTACATAAAAAATATCAAGATATCTAAGTTAATTCCTTGTCCCCTTTCCCAGTAACATGCTGCTTTCATGCACTGAGCCACAAATTATTACCTTTTTGTCCACTAACTGATAATCAACTTACTGAACCAAGAAATAAACATTCTTAGTATTAGTCCTTCTTTATGGAGGAAAGATGTATCATAAAGTATAATTGCTTTCCCCAGTGTACAATGTTATTCATTTTATTTATGTGATGGTTTTAATTTGTAAAATATTTTATAACTTTTATCTCAGTTGACCTTAAATAACTCAGAAAATCATGTGTCAGACCTTTCTGCTGACAAGTCCTCTGGTCCTAAGTTTCGGACCCAGTGCAGATTCCTGAACTTCTCATCTCTCCTTGTTCACTTCGCTGACCTTTAGGCAGCCCTTTCGCCTCCTGACCACTTTCTTAGAGGCCATCTCCTCCATGGGACTGACTTTAGAAAGAACTCATTTCCCTCTGCACTGGCATTATCACAAGCTAGTATCTAGAAAGATGCCGGGCTAAATTCCAGCTCAGCCCCTCATTAATGCTATTATTTTGAGCAAGTTGTTAAGTCTTTCTAAACCTCCGTTCCTGGGGACTCAATATAGAATACATAAAAAGCTACTGATACAGTGTGGTATGTAATAAGTTTGTTAAAAATTAAAGCCATGGCTCACTGCTTCTCATTACCTTCACAACTCAGTTCTCTTCTTTCTCCCTCCTCACCTCCTTCCCCTTCACTCCCTCTTCCCCTCCCCCCCCTTGTCTTTTACGTTAATCATATTCAGTGAAAAGCAATAGTAACATATACCTCGAACATCTACAGCAAAGTTAAAAGTCATAATAAATATTGCCAGGCTCTCACCGTAATTATTGCTATCTCTAGAGTGGACTTTTTAAGCTAAGAAACAGCAGCTAGTACTTTTAACTCTTGTTTTCTTTCTTTCTTTCTTTCTTTCTTTCTTTCTTTCTTTCTTTCTTTCTTTCTTTCTTTCTTTCTTTCTTTCTTTCTTC